CTGACAATATTCACTTTCCCATCAAAGATGCCTTCCCTCCTTCTCTCCCTCCCTTCCCTCCCTTCTTCCTTCCCTCCCCTTCATCCTTCCTTCTCTCCCTCCTTCCTTCCTTCTCTCCCTCCTTTCCCCCTTCCTTCCTTCCCTCCTTTCTTCTCTCCCTCCTTCCTTCCCCCCTTCTTCCTTCTTTCCCTCCTTCCTTCCCTCCCTTCTTCCTTCTGTCCCTCCTTCCCCCCTTCCCTCCCTCCCTTCCTCCTTCCTTCTCTCCCTCCTTTCTTTCCTTCCTCCTTCCTTCCTTCCCTCCCTCCTTCCTTCTCTCCCTTCCCTTCCTCCTTCCTTCTCTCCCTCCTTTCCCCCTCCCTTCCCTTCCTCCTTCCTTCCCTCCCTCCCTCCTTCCTTCCCTCCCTCCCTCCTTCCTCCCTCCCTCCCTCCTTCCTTCCCTCCCTCCTTCCTTCCCTCCCCTCCCTCCCTCCTTCCTTCCCTCCCTCCTTCCTTCCCTCCCCTCCCTCCTTCCTTTCCTCCCCTCCCTCCTTCCTTCCCTCCCCTCCCTCCTTCCTTCCCTCCCTCCCTCCTTCCTTCCCTCCCTCCTTCCTTTCCTCCCCTCCCTCCCTCCTTCCTTCCCTCCCTCCTTCCTTCCCTCCCCTCCCTCCTTCCTTCCTCCCCTCCCTCCTTCCTTCCCTCCCCTCCCTCCTTCCTTCCCTCCCCTCCCTCCTTCCTTCCCTCCCCCCCTCCTTGACCAGACCAGGTTGATGGTTTAACACACATGTTTCCCTCGTTGACCGCCTGCACAAGGGCGCCTTACCAATCGATTGAGCCGAGCATCCAGTAGATAAGAGGGAACCACGAGATGGCGTCGAGGAAGGCCACGTCGGGTCTGCGTTCCAACAGCAGGATAATTGGGTTTAGCGAAGTCTTTGGTCTGGAAGGGAAGAGAGAGAGAGAGAGAACGGGGCAGTTAGTATTTTGGAACATATTGAGGTTAGAGCACATTTTGGTGTTTGAGGGAAATTTGGCGGGATTGGGATTGGAATGGCGATGTTGAGGTTTTGTTTTGGGATCGTTGTTGCTGTTGTTAGTCGTTATCGTTATCATCATCGTAATCATTACCATTATCATTATCATAATCATAATCATCATTACCATAATCATCATTATCATCATCATCATAATCATCATCATAATCATTACCATTATCATGATCATTATCATAATCATCATCATAATCATTACCATAATCATCATTATCATCATCATCATTATAATTATCATCATCGTGATTATTACTACACCACCGCCACCTCACAATCCTCCCCATCATAGCGAACGCACTATCATCACCCCGCCCCACCCACGCACACGCACAAGCCATCGGCCTCGAAGTCACTCACCGGAAATGAGCTCTAAGAGGAATGAGGAAGTTGTAGATGCCATTGCTAGCGTAATCAGCAGCTAGGATCACAGCGCGGTTTTGCCAGTTGTATTCCTTGGCACTTCTGTAGCTGCAGTGCTCACACACCTGCGCGTCGAAGGGAGAGTGAGAACAGGTCAGGATTATTAAACTCAAGACTAACATAAAAGAGTAAGAGAAGAAAACCGCTTATGCAGTTACATTCTTTAAGACAAAAAGTAAAATGAAAATGCTTATGCTGTCACATTTTCTTTTCTCGTGTGCCCTACCTGTACGCATTTGTGAGACCAGAATACGGGTAACTGAACTTTCCTTATGAATCTTGGGGGGGGGGGCTTCGAGGAAAGCTTCATATAATCGTTCGTGTCTCTCTACAGATTAAGCTTTTATTGTTCTTGTGTCATGAAAAGGTTGAGAGACTATTACGTTAATCAGCAAAATAGACAGCTTATTAGCAGTTGAAATTCCTTCAATACAAACTCTGTATTTCACTCAATCAAAACCATTGAATTTTATATATCACGAGCTGTTTCTAAATAACATATGAATTACATTATAAAAAAAATATTTAATAAATCAGTGCATCTCCGCAAAAAGTTGGACAAAAATACTAAAGCACTGACTGTAGGCTGAAGAGCATTATTGCGTTTTGGAAGAAAAACTGCTTGTGGACTGAAAGATTCACGTTATTTTCCAAGCAGGATTTACGTTATCATGGCTATTTATATTACACACATATGCTCGCGTCTTCATTTAAGATTGGCGAACACTATACAATTCACATCATCTCTCGCCACAACAAAAAACAAACGCTTATACATACATAACTACCGATCTTGAAAATACATAAATATCATGATATATTGATCAGAACTATTGTTGACTTTCAGATAAAACTTTCTTAGATCATATCAGGCACAAAGCACCATTAATATCGCTGATGCCGTAGCACTGGTTGCATTGAATCATCATGTTAGATTATTTAATAATTAAAACATATGGGACATAATTACCGACAGCAATCATTCAATCTTCTTTGGATCTCTACCTTTCAAAATGTTAATATGGATATCTATGTACAAAAACAGCGTGCCACGTTATATGAAAATACTTCGTGTTACAAATACAATGTAGAATAAAACCAGTCGGAGAACTACTAAGTAAATGAAGTAAATATTTTTACTAGTACAAGAAAAATATAAGGAAATTGATGAAGTATTCTTTTAAGAGTTAACTTTTTGTAATTTTATATCTGATGGTGAAAAAAAAAATTGTTTAGTCTTTATAGATAAAAAAGAAAAGGTGGAAAGGAAATTCTAGTCACTAATTACTGAATGAATGATTAAAAGAAAGTGATCATACATATACACGTATACAATCTATACATGTATGTATATATATACATATATGTATATATCTGTATATATATAATAAACTATCCTATAACTGAGTCAAGCCGCTCATTTCAGATCTTTACTGAAGCTGCAAGAACAACAGTGTAGGCGATGCAGACAAATTACCACATTCAGTTTGAAAATCATGAAATCATTATCACACACACAAAAAAATAAACATTCCAAAAGAAGACATAGGTGAGGTCTGTATCACGTAATAACCACACAAAGCCAGACTGAATCGAGGTTGTCATTCGTCTCTCGCATGAACCTCAGTTGATGAAGCCACAACGACTACTTATTTCAGTTCCTGCATGCTGTGTCTCTCCGCCGAGGCCCGGGGGGGGAGGGTCCTCGGCTAGGGACGATTGATGCGGTAACGAGGTTGTTCTGCCATGCTACACAATACCAAATACGCTGGCAGTCATAACATGGAAAAACCAAGGTATAAAAGGAAGAGAAAAGGAAAAAGGAAGACAAAAAAGAGGAATATTTATGACCAGGTACTAGCAATGGAAAAGAAAAGAAAAAAGATCATTTGCATATAATACTTGAAAGTGTAAGATAAAGTAAACAGAAAACGGAAACTAATCAAATCGTTTTGGAATTGCCCAAGTATAAACTGACATTTTTCTCGTTTATGGGTGAAGTGAAAAAGAAAAGAAGAAAAAAAGAAAAACATTTATTTTCATTGCCATATACATAACATGGTATTGTAACAGGTGAATACAGCTGAAAATTATCAATGGATAATCTCAACAAATAAAATGTATGTCAAAAGGAACAAGATACAAGTAAACATGCAAAACTTACAGGACTGATACTACTCTGAAAAAAACAAAGAAAAACAGTTAGCTACAGAGCAGGTCAACAAAGGAGTGGTTAAGGAAATACACACAGCCACAGACCATCACCCGTGTACAGTTTCTAGCTACAACTAGGCCTACGACAGACAGAACACCACAAAAAACATTTCATTACTCTTCGTAAACTAGCTTTTATGCCACAGTGAAATAAAAGAAAAAAAATGAGTATGATACTAATTGGCAAATGCATACTCTTACGTTCACAAGATGCTACATGCTAAGCTATAGTCACAGATTTATGGTAAACATTGACTGAATAGTAATATAGACAAGAGTTCGATGTACCAACATTATGAATGTTTTAATTCTGGTGCTGGAAAATCGTTTGTCTGGTGAACATCAAGGCATCATTGAATGCAGTGAGTTCTATGGCAGAGTGACATACTGTAAAGCAACTGAAATTGGTGTGGTAATAATGCACTGTTTGCGTTTTGTTTTCCTCCAGATTTTGACGAAAATTTGACTGGGAAATATACGTTATTAGAACTCTTTGAGACACGAAAAAAATCTGGAAGTCAGATCTGGGACTCGGCACAGATATCATTGGTACATTTGAGAACAGATGGTTAGAGGGAAACCCGAGATGCAAATTCACTTGTATTTTACATCGTGGGCTGTGATTCAAATGGCATGAATGCGTCTGATGCTGGCGAAAATAATGAAAAAATGCTGTCCACCCAACACTGCGATCCTGTCAGTTTTCCCCAAATGAAGTTTGTGATTGAAATGAAGGAACAGACACACACACACACCACACACACACACACATATATATACATATATATATATATATATATATATATTATATATATATATATATATATATATATATATATATATATATATATGTATGTATGTATGTATGTATGTGTGTGTGTGTGTGTGTGTGTGTGTGTGTGTGTATGTGTGTGTTTGTGTGTGTATGTGTGTGTGTGTATGTGTGCGCGTGTGTGTGTGTGTGTGTACATGCATGCATGTGTAGTGATATGCAGGTCATCAAATAGGACTTCCTCTGTCTTTTCCATTCAGTTCAACGGAATATTTCTGTTATGATCACATATTTGTGTTTAATCTATTTCCTTTTTTTATTTTCTATTTTTTAGAGTTACCATTATCATCTTTGTGCAATGGAACCATAGTAATATTTATCCGCGTTACTCTACCTAAATAATTGTCCTTTAGTAGAAAGAGAGAAAGAAAGAAAGAAAGAAGGAAAGAAAAAAAAATGCAATCCGTGAACACATATGATTATCACAAAAATAAAATCTGTCAATCTTCATTCACGGGTGTCACTTGATATTTCCTAGCAATTAATTTTCACTTAACCCTGAAACT